TGCACAGTACACTCTAATCCTAACATTAATTTAACTAGAAATTCCAAATCCACTTAAACTCTATTCCCACTTACAACGTATAGATGTAGTTTAGTAGTTACATTAAAATTACATATATACGTACGTATTTACTATATATAATCATTTAACATACGTAGCGCATAATTTACATTAATAATTAACTCGTAAGTAACTTGCGAATTAAATTTTCATGATTCGAAGAATGATAAATTCGAATTATTCAATCAGTTATGTAATCGTTATTTAAAGTCTAATCTCACAATGAATGAATAATAGTTGAATACGTGATGTCGATCAGTGTGTTAGTTGATAACTCACGCATCTCAGATTATAGCTGACGCACGTCAGGTAACCGATCGACAGGTGATGCGCGTCATCTAAAAATTAGTATCTGATGTGCATCAGATTGCATCTGATGCAAGGATGCATCTGAGGCACAATATATATATACTCATTCTTATCTTCTAAGAAGAAATTTGCTAGTAAATTGGTCTTACCTATACCACTTCTTCCACTAACTATCTTGCTGAAAGGCCATATTATTACTGGATGTCTAATATTTCTGGATGATTCATGCTTTGTGGCCTCATCCATATCCATAAGGTAAAGTTTCATAGGAGGAAGTGGCTCCTTTGAGACCTCTCGGATAGTCCTGTTTTTTGGTTTTTCTGCATGGTGAATTGGAAATTTGTATCTTTGATTTTTATTAAAAGGTGTTATATAATTTTGAAAAAAGTTTTTTTCATTATGGGGCGATATAAAAGAATATAGACAAGATAAGATGGACCATAGGAAGTATATAATTAGTAAAAGTATTATAAGAAAGATTGCAAGCTGAAAAAAAGAAGAACCAAATTTCTTATCACTAATAGGTGCTACTGAGGAGCAGTCTCTATAGAGACCTCAGGTGGTTTCAGGGCTAGCATTATCATTACCTTTCTTCTGTTTATTAACACCTGGTCCCTCTAAGACCCCTCCAGCCACTTTAGACTCGCTGGATGTTTTTGGGATCTGTTCGGTTAAATGAGCTTTATTTAGGACTACTTCTTGAAGAAGCGTGTCTTTCTCTATCAATGCTCTTTGAGTTGTGACTAAATTATCTTTTATCTGCGCCAATTCATTCTTTTTTTCTACTAGTGTATTTTCTAAATTTTTTTTCTTCAGATCTAGGTAAATATTTTCAGTAGATAGTTCTGCGTTTTTACTTCTAATTTACGCTTAAGAGATTTTATTTCTGATAGCTCCTCTTCAGCTAAAGAAACATCCTGCTCTAATTTCTCTGCCCTAGATTGAAGAGCCTGTATCTCTTCCTTCATCTTGGATTGGAGGGCTTGCATCTCTTCTGATTTTATAGAGAATTTGCTTTCGGCATCTGCAAGAGAAATATCTTTGCGAGTAATCTGAAGCTTAAAATCATTTATTTCTGAATGCAATTGTCTTATCTCATCTCCAAGCTTAGAATCATTTATTTCTGATTGTAATCGTGCTATCTTTTTTCCAAGTTAGTGCATCTGATTGAAAAGTTTCTTATTTTCTTTTTTGGATTTATTAAGGTCATCCTGTATACACTTTTTTTTTTTTTTTAATTGATTTAAAGAATTCTGCATATACTTATTTTCTCTATCTAAGATATTGTATTTATTTGCAAACTGACTCTTCCAATATATAGCAACTTCACAACCTTTTTTGTACAAGAAAGTTGTTCTTCAAGCTCTGTTCGGCTGGGAGGGTATTGATTAGCTAGAGAATTTCCAAGTTTATTACTATTATCCAGATCTTTTAAGGTATGGATCTGAGACATTTTATTAGTATTTTTTTTTTTTGAAGAAAAAAAAATCTCAAGTTTTTGGACTTGAAAGTGAGATATTTTAGGTGAAAAGCATTGAACTATCTATTAATGCCTATTGATACATATTGGTGAGTATTAAAATATATTGAAGGGTATTAATATGTATTGATGTATACTGAAAAATATTGATATATATTAGAGAGTATCGACTTATATTGAAGAGCATTGATATATATATATTGATACTTATCAATATTTATTGAAAAAATATTTTTTTTTTTTCCTAGTATGTAAAATCTAGTAAAGATGGTTGTCCATCTCCATAATATATTTTATGATACTAAGGCAACCTTGTTATCAGAAGCTGATATTAAAGAAATTAGAGAATCAAGAGATAGGATACCCAATATATCAAAAATAATGGCTAAAAAATTTTATATTGGCCCTAAACGTATTTATGAAATATGGGACTATAAAGAACGCCTTTAGCAAGAGGTTACTTCATTTCAGTTTGTTTTGGAAGAGAATTCCCAAATTTATAAAAAGAAACAGATTCCTGAAGCGGTACCAGAAGAAGTATCTACACCCCTTCTATCTATAGAGATTCCAAAAAAGAATAGTCAAAAAGGGAAGGTTAAAATAGATAAGAAGCCGATTACTGAAGCAACCAGTATGGTAAAAAAAAATAACAAAAATAATATGGCCTCTTCCTCTGACAATTCGTTTAATACATCCAGAGAAGATAGGCTGGAATCTCTTCTTGAAAACTTAGTCAAACGTGGTGAAAAGCTTAAAAGCTTAACAGTTGATACTTCTGATATCTTTTCTATATAAGGATTCACATGTGTCAGCAAGAAACTTTTCAGTACTTAAGGCCAAATAGAGCTACTTCTCAAGCTTTGTACAGTTTACACTTTTTTTTTAAGTCCTTTTCACCACTTGGATTAGAGGAATCGGTAGATACTTGGGCCGAATCATGTGAACCCTCTAAGACCTGCTTCTCTTTTGACGGAACTTTAGCTTCTGAGGCCTTGCTAAATGTTAGGATAGTGTAAGTCTTCCCATGTAACTTTATTCGAAATTGATTTTTATTCGGATCAAGAATACCTTGAACTTTTTGAATCCATGTCATACCTAAACATAATATTGGTTCGGGTTCACCATTATTAATATGAGCAAAATTTCCAGTACTGGCAAATAATGGTCTTGTAGTAGGAAATCTAGCTATAAATACTTCAGATATATTACGAGGTTGGTTAAGAGCAAAATACCAACAGGAGACAGTTGGAAATTAGCAATCGGCTATACAAAGATTGACTCAAGAAAAATACCAACCTTATGATGCTCCAGATACTTATGAAGCTAGAGTTTGGCCACTATTATTAGGAGTAGCAGACAATGACGTGCAAGTTATAGGATTCCTTAAAAGCCACTTAACAGGTGATTTTTACACTTGGATGAGAATAGCTAATCCAGCAGGTATTAATGCATTTTTTACCAAGCTAAAAAATATGTGGCTAGAGCGTGGACAAAATTTGAGTAGAAGGATCCCAGAGGAATTAAATCAAATTTCAAATCAAATGCAAGTCTTACCTAGTATAAATCCAGTATCCTATTCTTTACCACTAGTTGCCTTAGCTTCTCAACCAGCTTTTACTAAAGACGATATACAAAAGGCGATTCAAGAAGCATTAGCATAGCAAAAACTAAATACCAATCTTTATTAGAAAAGCAAAAAGCTGATTTTCAAGTACAGGTGGCCCAGCAAACAGTTGCTCAAAAAGTACAGGCACCAACTCCACAAACTGTCGAACTGGTTAGATAGCCAAGAGGTCCTCCACCATCATTGCAATCAGAAGAAGATCTCCAGAATTATTATCTATCTAAATTCTTAAATAAATTAGGTTTAATAACTAAGAATAAATTAGATTCAGATTATTCTATAAAACCTTTTCAAAGACCTCACTCTCAACAAAACCAATCTATGAGAATAGATAGAATAGAATCGAAAGTAGAT